AAAATATTGGATTGTTTGGCTTCCGAAGGAACCCGGAAATTTGACGGGTCCGGCGTTGAATTGTTTTGGAAAGAAAGCTCGGTTTAGAGGCGCTCCGCCAGATTTAACTGCGGCCCCGCAACGGATCCTACTGTGAAGGAGTGCGTTTACGACCAGTTGCAAAACATGGCCGATGGGATATCTAGGCAAGATGTACCGTAGTCAACCGGAATGTTCTTGACGGCTGATCAGATGGCACCACCCACCCTATCCTGGGCAAGTTCGGCCGAGGACGATGCGAAAACAATTGCTTCCTCTTCAGTTTCGCTGCGTCTAGCAGCATCTTCACGACCAATGCTACGCGCTTCAAATGCCCCAAACGGCACTTGCTAACGAGCTATTCGTATGGCGCCCCACAGTGCCTCTCAAATCGACTGTAAAATCTCAATGCACATCGGAAATAGAAGACTGTCGGCCGTATGGACAAGCTGAAACGAGGAACATGAGATGACTGGATCATACCGTGGTTCTCAAGACATCTATCCGAAATGCTTCCGGGGATCGTTTTGATCTTCGTATCGATAGAGAAAGATGCAGCTTACCTTGCCTACAAAGATTCGTGCATTCAAAAGCAGGTATCCGCCTAGGCTCAACTGATGGTTCTGAAACTTGGCCGCTTCGTGTACAAGACACCCACGAAATCAAGATGTATAAGGTGCATTCTAAGGAGCATTCGACAGCAACCAGTTCAACGGTTTGGGTCCCGTCGCCCGAACGGACGAAGCGAGCTTTGCAATTAGATTTCGCTTCAATCTGACACACGGTACGCGTTGCAGAAACAGTAATATGCGCGGACCTAGCCTGTAACTGCTGTCCGTGGGCAACCATAGTACGGGACATTTGTCAAACTAAACCAGCCTGTCGCAGGAGACAATCGCCATGAAGTAAAGTGAAGTGATGCAAGTAAGTATTGTCACGAATGGTTTTTGTGTTGACCGGCTTGGAGTTGTGAGCCACTAGGATGCCAGTAGGGTGCGCGATAGTGTCTCCCGGACTGGAAAGTTAGTAGCCACCTTCCACCTGCAGAATTCTGGAAATAAAGCGCCGGGGTTTGTAGCTCTTTGAGACAGCGATGAGCGGGAAATTCTATAAAAGTTCACCTCTCAGTTATTGTCACCCTGATTTCAAGTGCTCAAGATACTGACGTAGCCAAAAAGTAGTCTGGTTAGGACGTGTCCCTTCTTTTTTCACGTGGACTGCAGATTACATAATCATAGTCGCTGAATGACCTTATGTGCTAGCAGGCTGTAACACGTGGTAAGGCACAAAGTACAGTGCAGCTGAACACAGCTGATCTGAAGTCATGTGTTTGCAAAAGTGTGCATTCACCAACGGAATGCTTCAATTAGCCTTAAGGACGCCACAATCTTTCAAAGCACGTCCTAGTGAAGCGTTAAGACCCAGAACTAGAATTAATATTTAGGGAAAATGGTCTGACAGGAAAGCTGAGATGCGTTGTTCAGTGAGCGACCCAAACTGTCAATCGCTTGTTCAATGATCATTGCGTCGGCTGACGGGTAAAACCACTTCCGAGAGTTTTAGGTTGTTTACCTGAATTAAAGTCACACACCTGATCATTTTGCTCGTGCACTGATGAACAATTCGGGAACTCGACAACCAATTTTCCAATGCACGACAGTCTTCTAGGCAGTTTAGAGTCAGTCATCTTCGAATTGCATAGAATCACTCCACCAACTGTGGGGCTAGCTTGTGATGAGATGAGCTGAGAATCGATTTCAACGGTATGTCTAGCTTGTAGACTTTTGAAGATCCCCTAATTTTGAACGTCTGTGTTCTGATTGGTGGTTAAAGTGCTCTGGTTCCACAAATAACTAGTAGGCTGACCTATCTGCCAGCGTTGTCATCGCCACCACCATTCGGGTTTTCATTTGTTCTCTCTGTTTCGAACATCTTTCCATCGGAAAGTATGACGTCCCGTTTAGATGCGTAATTCTCTCGGTTTTGTAATGGCAACCTCTGTCTGGTTGCATGAACACACGTATTGTCGTGGGTTGATAAATTTCGAAACACTGAATTCCGGTAACGGAAGAAGTTCGCGTATTTTGACTGGTTTTTGCAAGCTTTCCGGCTGAATTTGGTTTTGAAGGCGATTGACATTCACAGGGTAAAACTGTCGTCGCGAAGAGACTGGAGCTTATCGTAGTTCAATGGTTTGCGTACCCATTGAGCTGTGATGGAGAATGCTCGTGGAGCATCGTGCGTAGGGGCTTGGCAAACAGCCTCCTGGCCAGTCAGGTTTGGGTCTGGAACAAGTATGTGGGAAACTTTAGTAGTCTCAAGGTAACTACCGTTGCCTTGTGGTCAACCGTTTGGCTGTAGCACTCTTTCAATTCCTAACTACCATGCCACCCGAAGGAAGCACGAGGGCTGCGATAGTGCGAGGCTGCCCAGGTTTATACGGGAAGTCGAGAGGCAGAGCGGGTCGGGTTCGAACCCAGGGCATTCTGGTCAGTAAATTCGCGCTCTTACCACTTGGGTCATGTCACCCCCATGTCAACAGTCCTCTTGTCTAGGTTTCGGCGCAATGACAGCTCTCATAAAGTAAGGAAGTAAGTACTGCTGTCGTTGATGACGATGACGGTTAGGGGAATTCAAGATGCAGTCCAATGAAAGAAACTTCCAAGACTGATTGATAAGATCAACTTAAGTATTGACATCCTAACAGCTGCACTTTCTTGATTTTTGAAGGAGACTGTACAAAGGAACTCAGTGCCTCAAGAACAAGTTACCTAAGCCTTCAGTAGCGATTAAATGAAGCCCTCTAAATGTCATGTCAGGACAAGACATAATCAGCGAAATTGAACTCAGTGCCTCAAGAACAAGTTACCTACGCCTTCAGACATGAACCTATCTAAATGTCATGTCAGGACAAGACACCATCAGTGGAATTTACTGGGCATCCTACGTAAACCCTACCGCGACTAAAGCTAGCATATGAAAGACAGGAAATTTAGGTATGCAATCCGCATTGAAGTTGATAGAGGGACGAATTAAGTGTCTATGGCATTCATAAACATATACGCTTGTGCCTCAAAGAGAAAGGTGCGAAGAGCCCACAACATTCAGTTTGATGGCAGTTTCTTCCGGTCCGTGCAGACATACTGTGGTCTGTCCTCCTCGAATCTTTTGCTAACAGAGATTCGTCATACAGAATCAAGGCTGCCTTCGGTAGATGGCGTCTGGGAATGCGCGATATATTCCCCAGCCGCCTTAGTGTGATAAGTTTTGTTCACTTCTGTCGTGATATTCATTGAGTACCAATTACCCCGTCATGTAACACGCTCCTGTGTACAGGATGCGATGAGCAAACTCATGTTATACTACGGGGGTCCTGATTATCAGGAATTCGGGGATCTTGAGATATTCGGATCAGACGGGCCGAGTTTCGCCATTATAAAGTAGGGCTATTTGGACGGTTACTTTGTACATACATAAAACTAAGCGAAATTCACGTGCTTCGCTCATGCGTGTGTTGACTTCATGTCACAATACAACCCAGGTGTACACAGCTTCCAAGATAGGTATACTGACCAACGGACTCAAGCCTTTCACTCCGAAGTTTCACGCAAGTCCAGTAATCTTTCTCCAGCAGTCATTTTGAATCCCGGTCTCTTGAAGTGTAAATTCCATGATTCCATCAGTCAGAAAACCGTCCAAAATGTGGTGAACCACACTAATTTCCAGGGAAACTTTTGGATAACTTATCGTAATCTCTAACACGATCGGGAGTGCGATTACAAAGTGTGATATACAGTGAAGACCTTCTGTCTGGATGTACTTCGAAGGGATCATCTTTGGACAGGTTCAAGTCCCCTTTGAAGTCAAGGAAGACAGTCACCGGGGGTCGACACCAAATGCTTAGGCGTTTGGTTCCGATTAGATTACCAGCTGAATCTCTCGCATTCTTCAATTAAATGTACGGCACAAGATGGCCCAAGTGGTTAGAGCGCGAATTTACTGACCGGAAGGTTCGTGGGTCGAATCCGACCTCCGCCACTCGACTTCCCCTGTCTGGGCTCGGGCAACCTGGCAATATCCCAGCCCTCGTGCTTCCTTCGGGTAGCATGGCAGCTAGGCACCGGAAAGGTGCTACAGCTGAACACGGCACAAGTCCACCTCATGTTGCGGTCAGTACGTACGTTATTCGAAATATCACAATACACTGTCTAAGCGTAACTTACTACCAAAAACAGCTGTAACCCCCTTTGCCGACCCACGACCGGTTTCGCCCTTCTTGGGGCTCATCAGGTCAAGCTTATACGAAAATTTGGTTTGCATGAACGTCCAACGGTCCGTCCAGCCGAATTACGATCTGATTCCACAGTCGAATTCACATTGGAGAACCGGAGCACCTTGAGAGTAACAAAAACACGATCGCACACAACTCAAGCGCGCTGATCGTACCAAAGACGAGTTTCCCTCTGGAGGGACAGGCGGTGCAATCTGGTCTAAACAGACAGACAACAGGAAGAAAGCACACTTTGGCAAATACGCGAACACAAGGCATCACATTGTTGAACTCAAGCAGACAGACACACAAGAATAGTAGTAGTAATAGTGGCATTAATCGTACTAGCAAGAATACACTGCATACATATGAAAGTAAAAAAAAATGAAAAGGATGACGATTGATTTTCAATCACAGAGTGCATAAAAATAATCGACAGTGAAAGGCATTCGCCATGTCCCTGATATGATTTTTCAGATAATTCTTTTTATGACAGACTTCGTTGTACGGAAAACAGCATCAGTAGCAGAAAAAAGCTGGAGAAGTACTGCGTGTCCCATTACTGCATCTGTGAGGTAGGAAGGGGTGGGGGAACAAAAATAAGTTATTTTTTGAATAGCTTCTTGAGAGGGGCATAGGGAATGCATGAGTGTACGGGCCAAATGAAATGAGTGGTGTGTGTCGGGGGGGGGGGGGGCGGGGTGGGGAAGCCTTAAACGACGACCGGGGGCGGTACAACAGGTCCAAAGAGGTCCACGACATGAGTCAGGCAAAAGTCGACACAGGGCGCTTGCACATTGGTCAGCATGGCAAGGCTTTCGGTGTCCGTCTCCGATCGGAGCAGACTGGGGCCGAAAACGAGGGCCAATTTGTGTATGTGCATTTGGTTCTGTTCCGCATGTTCTTGTACTCTGCAAGACCGAAAGATCTTTGGGTAAGTAGGGTACGGGTAATATACGGAAGCTTCGACCATCGAAACATGGTTAGTCATTCCGTAACAGTGTAACATACTAACTTGNGCTCTTACCACTTGGGTCATGTCGCCCCCATGTCAACAGTCCTCTTGTCTAGGTTTCGGCGCAATGACAGCCCTCATAAAGTAAGGAAGTAAGTAAAGCTGTCAGTGATGACGATGACGGTTAGGGGAATTCAAGATGCAGTCCAATGAAAGACTTCCAAGACTGATTGATAAGATCAACTTATGTATTGACATCCTAACAGCTGTACTTTCTTGATTTCTGAAGGAGACTGTACAAAGGAACTCAGTGCCTCAAGAACAAGTTACCTACGCCTTCAGACATGAACCTATCTAAATGTCATGTCAGGACAAGACACCATCAGTGGAATTTACTGGGCATCCTACGTAAACCCTACCGCGACTAAAGCTAGCATATGAAAGACAGGAAATTTAGGTATGCAATCCGCATTGAAGTTGATAGAGGGACGAATTAAGTGTCTATGGCATTCATAAACATATACGCTTGTTCCTCAAAGAGGAAGGCGCGAAGAGCACACAACATTCCGTTTGATGGCAGTTTCGTTCAGTCTGTCCTCCTCGAAGCTTTTGCAGAATCAAGGCTGCCTTCGGTAGATGGCGTCTGGGAATGCGCGATATATTCCCCAGCCGCCTTAGTGTGATAAGTTTTGTTCACTTCTGTCGTGATATTCATTGAGTACCAATTACCCCGTCATGTAACACGCTCCTGTGTACAGGATGCGATGAGCAAACTCACGTTATACTACGGATGCTCTGATGATCAAGAATTCGGATGTCTTGAGATATTCGAATAAGACGGGCCGAGTTTCGCCATTATAAAGAAGGGCTATTTGGACGGTTACTTTGTACATACATAAAACTAAGCGAAATTCACGTGCTTCGCTCATGCGTGTGTTGACTTCATGTCACAATACAACCCAGGTGTACACAGCTTCCAAGATAGGTATACTGACCAACGGACTCAAGCCTTTCACTCCGAAGTTTCACGCAAGTCCAGTAATCTTTCTCCAGCAGTCATTTTGAATCCCGGTCTCTTGAAGTGTAAATTCCATGATTCCATCAGTCAGAAAACCGTCCAAAATGTGGTGAACCACACTAATTTCCAGGGAAACTTTTGGATAACTTATCGTAATCTCTAACACGATCGGGAGTGCGATTACAAAGTGTGATATACAGTGAAGACCTTCTGTCTGGATGTACTTCGAAGGGATCATCTTTGGACAGGTTCAAGTCCCCTTTGAAGTCAAGGAAGACAGTCACCGGGGGTCGACACCAAATGCTTAGGCGTTTGGTTCCGATTAGATTACCAGCTGAATCTCTCGCATTCTTCAATTAAATGTACGGCACAAGATGGCCCAAGTGGTTAGAGCGCGAATTTACTGACCGGAAGGTTCGTGGGTCGAATCCGACCTCCGCCACTCGACTTCCCCTGTCTGGGCTCGGGCAACCTGGCAATATCCCAGCCCTCGTGCTTCCTTCGGGTAGCATGGCAGCTAGGCACCGGAAAGGTGCTACAGCTGAACACGGCACAAGTCCACCTCATGTTGCGGTCAGTACGTACGTTATTCGAAATATCACAATACACTGTCTAAGCGTAACATACTACCAAAAACAGCTGTAACACCCTTTATGTGCCTAGCTCCCATGCCGCCCGAAGATAGCCAAAATGCCTAGACAGGAGCAGCCGAGAGGCATAAGTTCGGTTCGGAAGACGAACTTTCCGGTCAGTAAGTTTGGGCCTTAAACACAAGCCTATTTCAAGCTCAACACACTACTAATGAGGCTGTTGAAAAAATCCCTTTGACGACCCACGACCAGTTTCGCCCTTCTTGGGGCTCATCAGGTACCCGAGTCTTCGTCAAGCTTATACGAAAATTTGGTTTGCATGAACGTCCAACGGTCCGTCCAGCCGAATTACGATCTGATTCCACAGTCGAATTCACATTGGAGAACCGGAGCACCTTGAGAGTAACAAAAACACGATCGTACACAACACAAGCGCGCTAATCGTACCAAAGACGAGTTTCCCTCTGGAGGGACAGGCGGTGCGATCTGGTCTAAACAGACAGACAACAGGAAGAAAGCACACTTTGGCAAATACGCGAACACAAGGCATCACATTGTTGAACTCAAGCAGACAGACACACAAGAATAGTAGTAGTAATAGTGGCATTAATCGTACTAGCAAGAATACACTGCATACATATGAAAGTAAAAAAAAATGAAAAGGATGACGATTGATTTTCAATCACAGAGTGCATAAAAATAATCGACAGTGAAAGGCATTCGCCATGTCCCTGATATGATTTTTCAGATAATTCTTTTTATGACAGACTTCGTTGTACGGAAAACAGCATCAGTAGCAGAAAAAAGCTGGAGAAGTACTGCGTGTCCCATTACTGCATCTGTGAGGTAGGAAGGGGTGGGGGAACAAAAATAAGTTATTTTTTGAATAGCTTCTTGAGAGGGGCATAGGGAATGCATGAGTGGGAAATGAGTGGTGTTGGTCGGGGGGGGAGGGGGGGGGTGAGGAAGCCTTAAACGACGACCGGGGGCGGTACAACAGGTCCAAAGAGGTCCACGACATGAGTCAGGCAAAAGTCGACACAGGGCGCTTGCACATTGGTCAGCATGGCAAGGCTTTCGGTGTCCGTCTCCGATCGGAGCAGACTGGGGCCGAAAACGAGGGCCAATTTGTGTATGTGCATTTGGTTCTGTTCCGCATGTTCTTGTACTCTGCAAGACCGAAAGATCTTTGGGTAAGTAGGGTACGGGTAATATACGGAAGCTTCGAAACATGGTTAGTCATTCCGTAACAGTGTAACATACTAACTTGCCTGTCTGATCGAGAATTACCCCTATTCCGTATGCTCGATGTGAACAATATACTCTATATAAAGTGAGGTGAAAGCTCGGAATAACGGAAAGTCCAGTAAAAAATTTCGTCTCGTAAGAAAAACCGATCTGAGGCGAAAAACCCAAGACTGTACACTTGTTTCACCGGCCGGCATACCTCAAGAAATTCCAGAGAGTCTCGAACCTACGACAAACCACTAGCCTTAAGCTCCCCTGTATTTTGCTGAGATAGACAGCACTGATGATTCCCAATAGGGGTAGAAAAGCAGTGCATTACTTCTCGGGTTATTAGCATAGATGAACTTCGCTAACAGGACACAATTTATGTTAGAAAATTTTCACACTATCAAACAGTTGGACGAGTATTTTGCACACTTCTGTGAACTTGCATATCACACGACAGAACCTAAGTGCCCCGTGGGAGCACATGCTAGACTGTGAAGTACAGAAGAGCACGTGGGCGGTGACGGTCTGCACAAAACTCAGTTTATAAAAAGCACTCTCGCCGGGATTTTTTATCAAACATGGTTCTCTGATACTGGAAAACGTCTTTTATCTCATGATGGGAGAAAGTACAGCCGGGTCCCTTGTAGCAGTTTAAAGCATCCCCAATCTCTTGGAACAGCCGCCACTTTGCAGATTTATCATACTACTGGCGTCGAGATGAGTAGCTAAATAAATAAGCAAATAACCTACGAAAACAGTAGTCAACGGACGTGCATTAGACAACCAACACACCAACAAAAGTTCACCTACCTGGTCAAGTGGTGGAACAGCACCCTTGCGGTGGCAAAGTGCGGAGTAGGCATCGAGTCGAGGATAGTTCGAAACAATCCAACCATTTCGGAATCTGGTTTGTTGGAAGCTGTCACAGAAAGTTTGTAGGGTATTCGAGTTGGATTGCATTCGGGAATAGGGGCATACAGCGTGTGACAAGGTAAAAACGGAGACTGCACCCCTGATTACAAGCAGAAACAGACAGCCTGAAACGCGACCGTTTATCGGATTAAAGGGTACTGACGAACCATTAGTTACATAAGAAGCTGGATTGAAATGAGCGCATACTGGTCAATTTGCTTCAACAGCCATAACAACCAAACTTGTGGGCTGCATACCCATGGACGAATTAGTATTCATCGAATTCGATCTCACACAATGCAGTTCCTGGGTTTTTCGTGATTTGTTGGACTGAAATCACCGTGGGATGGGAAAGAATTGGCGGTAACAGGCGACTCACTGCAGCCATGGGAAGCATACATGTGGTGAACTAACGTTTGTAGTTTGGGGTCTGCAAATAAGCGTGAACTCCTACGTATAATCTGTCTCACAGAATATGCCCACGCAACAAATGAGTACTAATATAAAGGCGTCCTTTCACTTAGCGGGCGCCATATTCCCCCGTGGTGAAGACCCTGTACAAAGAACCTTTACTATGAAGCACAAAGGTCCATTCATTTCGTATAGACGCCTTTATGTATGTGAATGACAAAATATATTTTAAAAATAATGACAAATTCTCACGTGACCACGTCGGTTCTACAAAACCCAACAATCTACACGATATATCTCTCCCAAAACATGGGTCATTCCACTTTAATTCATAATGCGATCTGTCAACGATACAGCACAACTCTGGAAAGCAGACTGTTAAATGAGATACATATCGTTTTTCCTTGAAGGTCGACAGTGCGAGAAATACACTCAGTTGCGAATCAATTTGGTTACCACGATATCTCGAATATCGTGCCAACTGAAACGTGAGGCGGCCTGTGTGCAGCACATTCAGTTGTAGAATAGCATAAACGAGAGATTCAGTTGAGTCTCTCGTGAAAACCAAATTGATTTGCAAATGAGTGTATTTCTCGAAAAAACAGTCCAAGTTGGGTTCAAGTAGAACATAACGTTGACGGAAACTCGGGAACTGTGCCTACCTGAAGAGCCCAAAGAAGGGCTGTCGAAGAGTTTTCATCAACCTTGTGAGTAGTTTTTTTAGGGAAGTCGACAACGTTATTAGAAATCGCATCTTCCGGGATCGTAACAAGGACCGAAAAAGGCGTCAGGCGAGTAAATGTGACAAGATAACCAGAAGACTAATTGTTTGAATACACCGATCCCAAGTTTCGTTGTACGCATCTAGTTTTTGCGAATAATGTAAAGTCCATACTCACATCACTCTCGTTTGAACAGTTGTCCGCCTGTCCTGGCGTAATTATTCTGGGTCCACACCAAAGAGGAGGAGAACTGCACGCGAGTTTTGCTCTTATTAGAGCTCATCAGCAGTGCATATCCAATGTCCGTGCCGGGGTTTGAACTCCGGACACCTGATATGCGAGAAGGGGGAGAGTGAAACTCGAGTCCCCCCCAACAGGACAATTACGCCAGGACAGTAGAACCAATGTTCAAACGAGAGTGATGTGAGTAAGAACAATACGTAAATGTGAAGCTTGACTACTCATTCAATAGAATGCGTTTTCTGGACAAATTCCGGTCTGCCTTGTACTCATCGTAAACGAGCGCTGTGAAAGACGGGATAAAAAATCTGGGACAATCGAAACCGGAGTTTTCTTTTGGGGACATCCCATGTCAAGTTCATATGAAGGAGAGACAAGAATCAACAGCAGAATGACAATGTTTTACTGTCTAAGCGAAGCGAGAATCACATGCAGAGATGCAAAGCAAGCCCGGTGACGATGAGACACAATGGATGGCGGTCCTGGCCAGAACGTGAACATACTACTGATAGCTGGGGTGGTGGAGAAGCGAACTAGGGAACAGAAAGCTCCGTACCCTGGATCTGCTAATCTTCAGTAATCACTCAAACTTGAGTAGCAATGAGCCACGTGGCACAAAGGTTTTACAAGTCCAACTTTAAAACGATGAGCAGTGTTCAATAGGGTTCCCGAACCATTCTCTCGGAGAATCAGCGATGAGGACTCAAGTTCAGCCAGGAGGAGATCACCTCGTGTGAACCATGGTGGAACCATGTATTTCCCGAGTTAAATATTTCACACTTCAGATATGGCATGAACCCCCCCCCTGTTAAAGAACAATAAGTCATCAATGGAGTTATTCTCGGTGTACAACAAAGGGGAAGATGTACAACAACGGGAAGAATAACTTTTGGACAGCTTACCGAATAGGGCAGCGATTTTGGAGAACGCATTGAATGTGAACAGAGGCTCCTTGAGTTCACGGAAAAACAGTTTCAAAGCACCGGCTAGTACATCCAAACTCCACTTGTCGGAATTCAGGGAATAGTTATCTAGATAGGACGACAGTGGTCAGAATAAAACAAAGAAAAGGGGTGTGATGTGGCATTAAAAAGACTAGTATCACAAAATCAGAGAATATGAGAGAGATCGGGTGGAACAGCAAAACGAACGTGAGTTTGATACCTCTCTTAGTGAGGTTTCGTCCTGTGAAGCAAAGATGTGGAGAACCCACTATAAAGCCGTTTATCCTTATGGAAGATCATCGGTAGTGCGCACTCCGAGAGTCTGAGTTGCACGAGTTTGAAACCGTTCAGCTGTAGCACCCTTTCGGTGCCTAGCCGCCATGCCACCCGAAGGTTGCACGAGGGCTGGGATACTGTCAGCTTGCCCAAGCCTAGACAGGGGAAATCGAGAGGCAGAGGTCGGATTCGAACCACGGACCTTCCAGTCAGCAAGTTCGCGCTCTAACCACTTAGACCATCTCGAGTTTGAACAGACGATTATTCCACCGTGGGTGGTTAACTTATACTTAGATAGGATGTGATCTTGCCGTGTATCCAACTGCACATAGTTGGCCCGCGTGAACTAACATTGACAGGTGGTTCGATGGTGAGACTCGTATCCCGAGAAGTTTCTTGTGACTTAACCTGGCTAGATAAGTAGTTTGGACAAATACACGGGGAGAATGTTATTTTACATTATTTACACCCGATCAGCGCGGCAGTTTTGTCTGCGTGCACCGACCACCACGGAGCAACGGCTTCGTCATGAGTTCAAATCCAAACGCCTAATGAATGAAGCTCACACGGCACCCCCAGTAGGGGGTGAAACAGTTAGCGGCTGTTTCATTCATTACGAATGGGTGAAACTTCACGGAAAACTCGCCCAACATTGAAGATGCATTCTCGCTTGAACATCGACTGCAAAAAGGCCGGTTACCGTTGAGTCAACAGTAAAGAAACGAACCTGGTAGTTCTTTGTAATGCACTACTCATAAGGTTGCTGAACATTCGTCGACA